AATGGCACACCAATACCACCCCCCCCCCCTCCTCCATACACTCTTCCTTGTTTCAAGCAAGCGTACTGGTGAGAGATGAAGGTGTTCGAGGTGGCAGTTGTGCTTGCTGCACTTGTGGTGTTGGCTTCTGCCTCCAGTCCGCCCACGCATGGGACGTGCTCCCCCGTCAAGGACTGTGCTATCAACTCGGACTGCGACACCAACCTTTGCTGTAATAGTACGTTCCAACAATCATGTCGCTGCAAATGAAGGCACCGACGTTGGACCGTTCCGTAACCGCCGCCCTCCCTCAACCCGGCGTCCCACGGGCAAGAGCAAGTCCAACAGCAAAGTGACATGCTCTACAAGGTTATGCAACCGTGGTCGACCGAGTTGGACTACCTGGAGCATATGGGACGTTGCGGTGCTTGTTTATGGCCTGCGGGCGCGTGTGGCTGTGGCTACGTGCGTGGACCGAGGCCAGTCAGCCGTGCGACAGCGATTGTTCGGTTTCTCTTTTTTTTTTTCGGCCAGGGGGAGGGGGATGGGGGGGGGGGGGGGAGGGGGGGGGGTTCAGGAGTGGTACTCATGGGCGCGATGGGTGCAGACAAGTGCGTGGAGCCGACAATGTCGCTGCTGGGTGAGACGTGCGACAACTCGTGCCTCGGGTACTGTGACTTGTCGGGCTCTGACGCAAGGTGCAACAACAATCGGTGCGAGCGGCGGGTTGTGGGCTCGTCGACAAGCGCGCGGCCGGGGATCGGGTGCATGTGCGACGGATCGTGCGGGGCGAACATGGCGTGCGATTACAACGCAACACGTGCTGCGTCGCTCAACGTGTGCCGGTTCAACAGCGTGCTTCCTGCCGGGGCCAAGTGCACGGCGTCGTCCGAGTGTGTGGGCTCACAGACGTGCGACAACGGGGTGTGCACCGGGAGGGCGCTCAACGACTTGTGCTCGCTGAGCGTGATGGACTGCGCGCCGCCTGCGGTGTGCATTACGGAGGAGGCGGCCGACTCTACGGTGACGCGGTGCCTCACGCCGCGGACGGCTGGGGCCAAGTGCATCCGCGACGCCGACTGCCAGTCTGCGTCATGCGACACGAGCAAGCGGGTTTGCGTTGAGCGGTTCTCGGTGCCTGCGGGCGGCAACTGCACGTCCGATGCGGCGTGCGAGTCGCACCATTGTGGGACAGATGCGTTTGGCTCGATGTCGCCCGGGCGGTGCTCCGAGACGGTGCGTACGCGCGGAGCCGGCGGCAAGTGCCCGAACGGCGACATCAACTGCCAGCCTGGGCACTTGTGCATCGGGACCGAGGATAAGGAGTGCGCCGACGTGAGAGGAATTGACTGCCTCAACGGCGCGTCATGCGGCAACGGCGCGTGCTCGTGTGCCGGGTCATCGCTCAAGTGCTTCCCGCGCAACTACCCGCCGGCCGAGTGCGACGCGGCCAAGTACGACTTGTTTGCGGCGGTGCCGTCGTACGTCTCGACGCCGATCTCGTACATGCGCTCGCTCACATCGTTTGCCTTTGTCCTTCCGTACAACCGGTACCCGAGCCAGCTGCAGGATCTGACGGCCAAGTACTTTTGCTGCCTCCTCACCAAGGGCTCGATCGGATACAATGAGTTTATCAACACTGCCCGTGTGCAGGCGTTTGCCTCGACCAAGCTCGATTGCAAGGCCGACCCGCCGGTGTGGATCGACGTCGATGCCGCCGACCCGACTGCCACGCCCAAGCGGTGCACGCTCACGGAGCGGCTGACCGTCGATGACCTGGTGGTGGGCGGCAACGCTAACTCGGCGCCGATGCTCGGCCAGCTCTCGGCCGCCAGCGCCGTCGCGCCGTCGCTTGTTGTTTCGGCTCTGGCCGCATCGCTGGTTGCAGGGCTGGTTGCCATGTTGTGAAGAAACGCGGATAAAGTGTTCAAGCATGCGCTGTGTTTGTGCAGGAGACGAGTGGGGAAGCCGGCAGCTAGACGCTCGTGTACTCGGAGGGCGAGACTGACGAGGAGGAGGCGCCTGAGCCCGAGGCAGTGGGCATAGAGGCGACGGGACCAAGCTCGAGGTCACCGTCACTGTTGTCGCTGTCATCGCTGTCGGCGGTGTGCGCGTCGACAGCGGCATAGCCGTTGGTGGGCATGTGGTAGCGTGACGAGCCGTTGTCGTGATGGGGGAGCGGCTTGGAGGCCGACGGGGTTGCTTCCGAGGCTTGAACGATGGAGGCCTGCGGGACGGTGGCGTGGAGGAGGTCCTCGGTGGTGTGAATGTTGTTGAAGCGCTCCGAGTGATGGCGCTGGAGGACGAGTACGGCGTTTGTCGAGTCGACGTCGGCGACCGAGGCGCGCTTGCCGAGCGCCGAGCGGGCGTCTTTGCGGACGCGGAGGATGTAGACCGGGTCTGCGGCATCATCGCGGTAGTCGTCGAGGCCGCGGCCGGAGAGGTAGACCTCGACCATAGTGGCGATGATGAACGGAATGGTCATCATCTGGACGGTGAGGAGGCGGAAGCGGAGGCCCCAAAAGGCCGGCGTGACAAAGGGAACGCGAAAGATGAGCGGGACGAGGACGGTAAAAGTGGCCTCGGCGAGAAAAACGGTGAGGACGCCGACAAGCGCCATGGCAGCGGTGTAGTACCGCGCAAGGTAGATGAACTCGGGGTGGTTGATCTGAGCCGACGAGTCGGCAAAGAGGTTGAGAAAGTTGAGGCCAACGACGCGGAGCTTGGCGCGCCACGACGAGCCGGGCACGATCTTGCGGAAGGCGAGTGCTGAGACGTGGTAGGAGCGGACGACGAGAAAGGCGGCGAGCGAAGAGGGGCAGATGACGTAGGCGACAAAGCGCGGGACGACGCCCGGCGTGTGGATGAGAGTCGACTCCCACTCGTCAATGGTGTGGCCGTACCAGAGGTAGAGGAGGACAAAAGCGCCGATGGAGAAAAAGTAAAAGGCGGCGACGGACCAGAAGGCCCAGGCGAGGGCCTTGATGTTCTTGGCGCGGTCGGCCTCGCCGGTAAACCGCGAGCAGCAGCAGCAGCGGAGAACGAGCGAGAGGTCGACAAAGGTGTAGACTTGCAGGACGTAGGCCACGACGATGAGGACAATGATGTTGAGGATGAGGGTGAGCATGGCGTTGCGGAGGATCCACATGCGGAGAGCATGCGCGCGGGCGGCGCGCCAGGTGGAGACGAGGCGGTCGACGCCGACTTTGTAGAACTCCTCCGACTCGCCGGTGTGGTTGCCGTAGACCAGGTCCGAGTCGATGGCCTTGTACTCGGGCACGGTGCCGAGAAAGGCGGCGACAAAGCGCTGCTTCTGGACAAAGAGGTCGTAGTAGTGGAGGGTGCGGGCGGGTTGCGAGGCAAAGACCAGAGCGTCGGTGATGAAGCGACCGGTAGCCTGGCGCGGGACCGGCATGCCGAGGATGGCGGCAACGGTCGGGGCGAGGTCGGTGTTCTCGATCTGGCCGCTAAAGGCCGGTCCCGAGTAGGGCGTCGAGGCAAAGTTGGAGTTTTTGCGGTAGATGATGAGCGGGACGTTTGTGAGCTCGTCCTGGACGCCGCCGTGGCCGCCGCGGTTGACGTGGCCGTGGTCGGCAAAGATAAAGACGACGGTGTCGTCGTCAAGCGCATCGGTGAGCTCGTCAAGAATGCGGGTCTTGTTGGTCACGGCACCGTTGTACGAGTCGTCGCTGTTGTAGGTCTTGGAGACGCCAAACGAGTGGCCCTGCATGTCGACGTCAGAAAAGTGTGCAAGGAAGAGACCGTACTCGAGGGCAGAGCCCTGGAGGGCGATGGCCTGCTTAGCGACCGCGGCGCGGAGGTCGTCGGCCGGGTCAGCGGTTGGGCGGCCGACCGAGATGGGCACGCCGTTGACCTTGGGGAGCGTCGACGGCGAGAGGGTGCCGTCGCCGGAGAGGAACGGAAGCGTTGACTTGACAATGTCGGACATCCATGGCGACGCAGTCATGCCGCGGTTGAGGCCGTAGATCTGGGCCTCGTTGTAGATCGAGTCGTACTTGGTCTCGGGAATGAGCAGGTTGCCGAGGACGCCCGTGAGCTCGGGTGGGGCGCCGGTGAGCGAGGTGACCCAGTTTGGAACAGACATCGATGGGAGCTGTACCTTCATCCGGTACGTCCGGGCGTGGGCGCTATCTTGGATGAGGCTAGAAAGGCGGCCATGGCCGAGTTGCGCGAGAGAAAGTCGTAGCGGAAGCCATCGAGCAGGACCATGAGCACCTTGGTGGTGTTCTGGGTCCGGCCCGGGCCAAAGTAAGCGTTGATGTCAGAGCGCGAATTGAGGGCGTCGATGTCGGCCTGCGGGAGGTACTCGCCCTGAGTGGAGAGGACCTTGCGGAACTCAAAGACAAAGTTGCCGATGGCGAGGGCGAGGACAAGGAGGGTGATGCCGAGAAAGTAAGCGCGGCCGCGGATGAGAGCACGCGCGTAGATACGGCGGACGTCGCGAAGCTCGAGCCACGAGTCGAGAGCGACGAGGTAGTCGACGACCTCGCCGTGGTGGAGCTTGGAGCAGGTGGAGGAGACGGCGGCCGACGAGGCGTCGTCGAGGGAGATGTCGGTCGGGACGTGGGTCCGGAACATGAGCAGGAGAAGGACGGTGATGAAGATGACCTGGAAAACCACAATGGGCACGACAAGCTGAAGCCGGCCGGGCGTCGGGTTGGCGAGGTTGATGATGGCGCCGGCGCCGCGGAGGGTGGTGAGGAGGGCGATGGGGAAGAGGCGATGGGTGGCGCGCGAGAGGGTGATGTTGACAAGCAGAGCGAGCGAGATGACACAGCCGACGGCAACCATGACCAGGCCCATGAACCGGGACCATACAATGTCGGTCGCTTGCTGTGACTCGGCATCGTTGAGCCCGTACGTGGCCGACCGCCGCGAGTCAGTCCGCACCAGGAGCGCAATGGCAAGGATAAGCTCGACAATGGCAAGAACAAAGAGCAGAGCCATTTCTGGTCGGAGGAAGAGCTTTGACCGCGAGAAGCTGAGCCGAACTGCAGAGAGCGACCTCAACATGGTTGGCGGAGTGGTACGGAGTTAGGGGGGTGGGTGGGTGGGGGTGGGGTGGGTGAGGTGTTGCGGAACGTGCGTGGTAGGCGGCCGCCTGGCAACGGGTGGCGGGCGGTGTGGAGGGCAATGATTATGGCAACGAGAAATAATTGAGGTTTTTTGGGAGCGTTTGGCGCCAACAGCAGGTGCGAGTGACGAGAGAGAGAGAGAGAGAGGCAGCGAGTGAGAGAGAGAGAGAGAGAGAGAGAGAGAGAGAGAGACTGGCTCGGTGCTGGAGCTGCTTCCGACGAGACACACTCGAGTTGGTGCAAGGGTGACTTGCGGCTAGGAGCCTCGGGAGCTTGTGCCTGGTTGTGTCCTGTGTCCTGTGTCGTGTACGGCTGGTGGGTGACAAACGGGCCGAGGACACGCTGACAATGCCGTTCGTCCCGCCGTCCCCAGGCTCATCGTTCTCGCGCATCTCGCGCTCGCCGCTGGCCTCGCGCCCGCCGGCGTACTTCCCGGATCCGGACACGCCTACGGTGGGCGAGCTGTGGCGGCGACCGGACGATGTGGCGGTGGTTGATGCTGGGCCACCGCGGTGCGAGCCGGATCGCAACACGCCGGCGCTGCTCGGCAACGCCGGAGTATGTCTCGGACTGGTGAAGGGCCATGCGGCCAGGGTCCGGGCCGTGGCGGTTGTGGGAACACAGGTGTGGTCCGGTTCGCTGGCGTCATCGGTCCTTGTCCACGAGGCTGCCACCGGCAAGCTTGTGGGCTCGCTCTCGTGCAGCGCTGGGAGCGAGCGGGCGCAGGCTGCGCGGCGGGCAGCCGTGCCCGCAGAGTCGCAGGGCGCGCCGCTCGACGAGCACGTCTCGGCACTGCTTGCAGTCGGCGACACGGTGTGGATTGGGTTCTCGTCCGGGCGACTCGGTGTGTGGAACGCCAAGTCTGGGCTGGAGATGGAGGAGCTCGCTGGTCCGTCGTCCGATGCGCACGCCGAGATCACGGCCCTGGCCCTTGTCGCCAACACGGTGTGGATCGCCAGCGCCGACGGCGGCATCGCCGTGTGGGACGCCCGCGGTAGAGTGTGCAACACTGTGCTGAGTGGACACACCAACGGAGTCCGCGCTCTTCTCTGCGTCACCGTTCCTGCACTGCAGGGCCTCCCGCAAGTTGCGGTCTGGTCGGCCTCGGACGACAACACCATCCGGATGTGGGATCCGCAGAGTGGCGAGACCCGCCACATTCTCGACGCGCACACAGGTGCCGTCCTTGCCCTTGCCGCCGACGACGCCGGTCGGGTCTGGTCCGGCGGCGCCGACAAGTCGATATTGGTCTGGAACGCCGCGTCCGGCAAGCTCGAAGCCGACATCACGCCATCAGCCGCAGGCTGGGTCACCGACCTAGTCTGGGCGACTCCGTTTATGTGGGCAGCCTCGACGGACCGGTCAGTCCGTATCTACTCGAGCACGCCAGTGTGCCTTCGGATCTGCCACGGCCACGGCGGGTGGGTCACCGCCCTCACCAGAGTTCGCAACACCGTGTGGTCGGCGTCGTCCGACACCACTCTTCGGATCTGGACCGCCGCTCCCGACGCTGAGCTCCCGCGCCACAGCGGCCAGTCGCCGCCTCGGGCGAGCCTTGCAAGTGCTGCGGGAGGGCCGCGCACTGGCTTTGACGTCTACGCCGCACTGGCGTCAACGCTGCCGCAGCTTGACGCTGACTACGCCGACACGGCCGCAGCTCGAGCGGCAGCAGCGGTGGAGCAAGCAGAGGTGGGGCAGAACGTAGAGCAGCGGCGCTCAGCTGCGCGGCGCTTGTCGCCGTCGCGGACTCGTGGGCCTGAGACCGATGATGCAACGCGAGATGGGGCCGGAACGGTTGCGTGGGAAGTTGACGTCAACGCGTTTCGGTCTAAGCGGGCACAGGCGCTGGCTCAGGCGCGCGAGCGTGAGCGTGAGCGTGCGCTTGAACGCAGGCGAGAGCATGTGCGAGAGCATGAGATGGAAGACGGAGAAGGACATGACTTTGAAGATGGGCTCGTTGGTGGGCGCAAGAGTGAGTTTGATCCGACTCGGACGCCGGGCTCGGCGCGGCGGTCAGTCACGTTTGCACAGTATCTCGAGAGTGGAGGAGCAGCGAGCGGGATGTCGTCGCTCGGCGGCTCGCGCTTGTCGCACATGTCGGATGACTCGCTTGCTGAGCTTGATGCGGTCTCGCCACTCAAGAAGATCCACGAGCTACACTCCAAATATGAGGACCAGCTCGCAGCCGAGGCTGCGGAATCACCGGTGGTGGGAGGCGCCGTTCCGCACGTCCCCATCCCGCCATTTGAGCTGACACAGGCCAATCCTGGCGCTGCGTTTGGTTACTCGCCGGCCCAGACGCTCAACATGCCAGATCTTCGCGTGTTGAGCTCGCCCGTCCGCAGCGACGCGTTCGAGGTGTCGGATGACGAAGTGGAGGATGAGCGCGAGCGTGACCGGGAGGGAGAGCGCGAGCGGGGGCGGGAGCGCGAGCCGAAGCGCGATCAAGAGCGTGGGAGCGAAGGGCACGATGCGTCCGACGACTCCGACGATGGCGACAACGGCCGAGAAGATGGGATAGAGGAGGGGCGAGGAGGCGAGGATTCCGCAACTCGACCGGTTGATCACGCCGTGGCGGCATTAGCGAGTGCAGACGCTGATCAAGGCGCCTTCTCGGGTGCCGGCTCACCGTACCCGGACACGCCGGGGCCTCGTGGCGTCGGGGGTTTTGAGCTCTCGTCGGATGGCGAAGACAGGCGAGAGGCTGGTGGCAGCACCTCGCCACAGCGACGTGGGCCGCGGCTGGCGCGCAGACTGGCACGGCGAGGGTCACGGACACCCAAAGGGACGCATGCATTGCCGCGGCAGCCTCAGCAGGACCAGGCCGATAGCCCTGGTCGGGACGAGGGCAGCGAGCGTGGCGGTCGGCGGCGGCAGTGGGCATCGCCGACCCAACACTATCAAGCACTGATGGAGGGCCGTGAGACAACGCTGTCGCCGTTGGCGGCGATGAACGCGACACTGGAGGAGGCTCGGGCGGCGCGGAGCGCGCGCGAGGCTGCCGCCACAGAAGCAGCCGATGCCGCCGCAATTGAGCGAGAGGAGCGGCGCAAGGAGCTCCAGGCGCGCGACGCGGCGCAGCGTGATCGTGATCTGGAGGCTGCACTGCTGGCATCGAGCAGACCACGGATAGCTCCGAGTGAGGATCGCGAGGAGGCCGACGGCCATCATCATCGGCGTGCAGTCGATCTCCAGCGCGAGGTGGACGCGGCGCGGGTGGCAGCGCGGCCGGCGCGGCGGGCTCTGGCACGAGCACGGGCAGACGGGCGGATGCTCGACGAAGTCGGGGTCGATGGCTACGTCGCAATGTCAGATGACGGGTCGTCAGGTGAGAGATCTCTCCCACCAGCAGCGCGTGAAGCGATTGCGGGCGTGGACGACGTTCACAGCTCTGTTCGAGCCGGCGCGACCTCTGCCCGCGTTCAAATCACCGGCCTCATCGAAGCGATCAAGCGGACGATGGCTGCCAATAAGAGCGTGCTCCAGGGCACGGAGCGAGCAATGGCGCGAGCCGAAGCAAGTGGCGAGGCCGCGCGGGCGTCGGTCCCACCGCAGGATGTGCTTGATCTCGCCAGCGAGGCGCGGCTGGAGCAGGCGGAGCTCAAGGCCGCGCTCCGCGCTGTCGCCGTCAAGTTTGGTGACGACATCCGTGCTGCGCGGACAGCCAAGCCTGCTTCGGGTAGCGGTGGCGACGGCAGACTCGAGAGTCCGCGTGACGCCGCGCCCGCCACTCCTGCGCCAGCATCGCAAGCCCAGCTCCCGCCGTCGCGGACCGTTCCGGACCAGTTTGTGGCGCCGTTCTTCTCGTCGCTCTACGGCTCGCGGCGGAGCGAGGAGAGGTGAGCTGAGTAAAGATGCAAGTGATTGACAGAGCAGCGGTGATGGCGATGGTAGTGACCGTGTTTGGCACTGGCAGTCGACGTTCACGACCACTTCTCGTTTGTCGCCACCCGTTTGCCATGGACATCGACGACGACACCCTCCAGGTACGGGTAGAGTGAGAAGCCGGGGGGCGTTATCACAGCAGCAGACAACCCATTACCATTACGCGTCATGCCGTGATGCGCTTGGTAGCTCTGACGAGGGGCAGTCGCTGTGGTAGGCAGCATGGGACCGAGCCGTTGCCTGGTTACGTGGGGCCAGTTTTTGGCAGTGGTGGTGCCAGCGGGCGGGAGGCGGGAAGCTTGGGCTGGGGGACGGGCGAGGGGGCAAGTGGGGAGTGGAGGTGGTTTGTGACAGAACCAAGAGTAAGGCAATGGGCTTACATGTTGTGGGGCGGTTATGAGCGTGTAGAAGCTGTATGTGTGGGTCGACACCATCCCGCTCTCGCGGCCGAAGAAGAACATCAACCGCGACTTCTCGGACGCGGTGCTGGCCGCGGAGACGATCAAGCACCTCTTCCCCAAGCTTGTGGAAATGCACAACTACTCGGCAGCGCACTCTGTGAACCAGAAGCTGTACAACTGGCAGACGCTCAACTCAAAGGTCCTCCGCAGGCTCGGGCTCAAGCTTGATGCCGCGGAGATGCAGTCGCTGGCACGGGCTGAGCCCGGGGCCATTGAGACCCTCCTTGTCCGGCTGATGCATAAGATGGAGCATCACAAGCAGCGCGCGATGGAGCGGTCGGGCGCGAGCAGTGCGAGCGGCGGTGGCGGTGGCCGCAGCGGGCGGCGGGCGTCGCGGGAGAGCCGCGACAGGCACGACTCGCGTGACGATGGGCGCGACTCGCGTCGGGCGCCGCGTGACGACTACAGGGATAGTCGATTCGAGGAGGCACATCCGCCGCCGGCACATGCTGGGCCCGGGCAGGGCACCAGCGGGCACGGCGCGCGGCCGCTCAACCTCGACTCGGCCACTGTCGACTCTGAGCTGTTGGTGGAGAAGGAGCGGACGATTATCCAGCTCCGCGAGATTGTCAAGGTCCTCGAGCGCAAGGTCATGAAGCTGGAGAAGCTTGTTGAGCTCAAGAACTCGAAGATCTCGTCGCTCCAGTCGGAGCTCGCCCGTCGTGGGTAGGCTTCGGTGATAGTAGGGAGAGGACTCGGTGGAGATGTGGGTAGGAGATGCACCAAGTAACAGTTGGTGTGGATGTTCGATAGTACTGCGAAAGGGCAATGTGTGTATATATATGTGTGTGTGTGTGTGTGTGTGTGTGTGTGTGTGTGTGTGTGTGTGTGTGTGTGTGTGTGTGTGTGTGTGTGAGCGAGAGAGTGCTCGTTTGGCCGTGGTGGGTGTGGGCTCACGAGAGAAGAGGCCACCACTTGACGCCAAGTCGCGGGCATGGCGACGGGTGGCAAAGAGGTGCACGAGGTGCTACTGACGGGGGTACCAGCAACGTCTGTGTCTCGGGTTTACACTGTGATGGGCGGGAGCGGGGGCGGAGCGGCGGGCGGGAGCGGGAGCGAGGCGGTTTCCGGGCTGGTGGTGGTGTTTCCGGGCGATGTGCAGAACAGAGCAGAGGAGCAGGCCAAGTCGCCTATCGGGCAGCAGCTGATGGAGTACTCGCTGGAGAAGACGGCGGAGAGGCTGGGTGCAAAGTGGCCAGACAAGGCGGTGTTTGTGGTCGCGCCGAAGAGAATGGTGGAGGACAAGGCAGTGTACGACAACATGCTGCTCGGTGGGCGGGCGCTGGTGTATCTCGATGCGCTGGTGGATGGGATGCGGCAGCACATTGGAGCAAGCTCGGCGCTGCCGGTGCACCTTGTTGGATTTTCATCGGGTGCAGCTGTTGTCAACCGGGTGCTCACCGAAGTCCTCGACTCGTTCCGCGAGCCAGTTCTCGCCGCATCGCCGGATGGATCGATCAAGCCGATTGTGCGGCTGATGTACGACAAGGCGGTGGCAGCCAACGTCAAGGTTCAGGAGATGTTCTTTGGCCGCCTCGTGTCGATGACCTGGCTCGATGCCGCCAACGGCCCGCCGCTCGGCGAGCAGCACACCTCGGACGAGGTGCTCGAAGCTTTTGCAGCGCGCGCACCTGACGGCTGGCGCCTCTCAGCACGCATCATCTCCAGCGAGTGGCAGGTCAACGACCCCCGGCGTCCATGGATCCGGCCATCCCTTGCCGCGCTCTTTGACCTCCTGCAGAAGCTTGACCACGTCGACGCATCTTGGGACGCGCCGCCGGAGCTCGTGCCCGACGACGATGACAACAGTGACGACGCAGCGACCGAGGGAGACGCAGTGGCTACAGCAGCTGCCGACGACGCCGAAATAGTGCGTACGCTCCAGGCGCACTTTGCCATGCTCGACGAGTTTGATCTGTAGCTGTGGTTAAAGGTGGTCGCTATTGAGATCCCTGTGAGCTGCTTACGCTAGCGGAGGCTGGTCAGCATGTCTCAGGAGGCGGCGTGTGTGGCAGGCATGTTGCGGCCTGGGCTTGCGCTTGCGGTGGATGTGGAGGCCGGGGTGGCGGTGGATGTGGAGGCCGGGGAGATGGAGGTGGCTGGTGTTTGACGCCGACAGCAAGGCTGTGATTGGAGCTGGCTGGTGAAGCGTGGACGAGGTGGTGGGCGTAGTGAAGGGGATTGCGCGGCAACGAGCGCCGCGACGGAGGAAGGCGCTGCCGATGGTGTCGGACAGCGGCGATGACGGGGAATCGTCGTGTGTGATTGGGGCCGTGAGCAATGCGGGGAGCAGCGGTTCGAGCTCGGAATCCAGCAGTGGGATGTCGTCCGGCGAGTGCCGCGAGTGGAAGCTCCTGGAGGAGATCCGGATGCCGAGCAGGGAGGAGGTGCTGCGGATGCATGTCGAGGAAGGCAAGTCGTGGGACTCGATCCTTGGCGTGTTGAGCGAGGTGAGAGAGCGGCGGCGGATGGTGGTCGAGTACTTTATCGGGGGAGGGCTTGTGAAGGTGGATGAGTCTGGAGAGTAAATGACGAGGGGCAAGAGTCATGGCGGGGATGGGGACGATGGCGGTGGCTGCGATCTTGATTACTTGTGATTGGGTTGTGTTGGGTGTGGTAGAGATGGTGTTGCTGATGCTGCTGGTCTTGCTGATGCGATTGCTGTCGGGTCGTCCAAGTCGCCGTGCCCGTCGTCGTCGGGATTGAGGCATGGGTAGGCCGATGGGAGTGGGTGCAGGGGTTCAGGGGAGGTGGGCATGAGGATGTGGTTGGGAGGGGAGTGAGAGGAGGAGTGGCTTGTTCTCGGCCAGTCGGACTTGGGCCTAGTCATGATCAGTGGCGCAGTTGGTGGGAGGGGCGTCGATGGAGACGAGGGCTTGGGATTGGAGGAGGGGCAGTTTTGAGTTGCGGGGCGAGATGGAGGAGGGTAGAAGGGAGGGTGAGTACGATCAGGCTAGCAAGTGGCCATGGGTGCGCCATCGTCAGTTGGTGTCGATGTCGGTGAGGAGGAGTGGGTGGGGTGGGCTGGCGACTGGCGGTGGAGGTGATGGTGATGGCGATGACGACGACGATGACATTCATGTGCATCAGGCCAACAGTATCTGTACACGCTTGTCCGCTTCTGCTCGTCCTTCTGATCCCGATCTTGCGCCCTCATCCTCAACGTCAGCCTCGAACTTGGGTTGTGCGCTCGCTCGTTTGGGCTGTCGCTCACTTGGCCCCGCCCGGCAGTGATCCGGCGCCGATGGTGATACGCAGTAGCTGGCTTGCTCGCGATGTATGGAAAATTCATCCCTCTCCCTTGTCACATCCCTCTCATCCTCTCTCTCCCTCCCCAGCAGCCGCAGCCTCGGCCTCAGCCACGGTCACCGCCTCAGCTCGTCACCCGCTATCGCAACCATGAACGCTGCCGCCTCAACCATCACTTCCATCGCCAGCCATCGCCATCCCCCATCCCCATCACTATCCTCAGCATTAGCATCAGCATTGTCACCAACCTGGTCATCGCCGCCTCGGGCTTGGGCTCCCTCTTCTCCCGCCACATCAGCAGCACGGCGCCCATGCCGGCGAGTGGCTGAGCAACGAGCGGCTGGCCGTCACTTGATCACTCGCTGCTCGCCTCGGCCTCGGCCACAGCAGCAGCGCTAGCTGTGGCAGCCACCACACTCATCCCACTCCAGCCATCTACACCCCCTCACCTCCATTCCCTGTGACTCCACCAGCCACTCCCCCTGTATAGCCAGCCGCATGTCGTGCTCGGCTTGATCTAGCTTGATCTGGCTTGGCTGTGAGTGGTTGAGCGGGCGGGCAAGCGAGCGGCGAGTTGCTGGCCAGTGAGCAGTCGACAGGAGACGACGACACGGGCATCAGGACACAAGATCGGGCGACAGACTACTGCAGTCTTGTCTACCACTGCACCCTCCTCTATCCCTTCTCCCTCGTTCTCCCTCCCTTTCCTTCGCTCTGACCAGCCCACTGGCCTCGCCTGACCCGTCAGTCCTCTCGCCAGCAGCTGGGTTGGTTGACAGGTGGGCTGGGGCAGGATGGGCAAGGCGGGGAGAAGAAGGGGGGGACGTGGTGGGGGAAGGGACTGATAACCATTGCCACTTGTCTCACTATCCACGGGTAGATCATACTATACTCGTGCTCTGCCTATCCTGATCGGGGTTGTGGTGAGCAGCAGGCGGCCAGAAGCGATGCTGATGACGAGATGGTGTCGGCTGATGTGCGTATCGGGGCAAGTGAAGTGGGTGGCTATAATTGCAAGGGTAGTGAACATGTGTGGCGTGGGTGCGGTGGTAGTGGGTGGAGATGGTGGGGAGTGGGGGTCGGAAATAGGTCCGGGGAGGGGGGTGAGCAGCATCGAAGAGACACCAGGCCAACAAGTTGGGCCTCAGGTGGCAGAACTCGAATTCCGGAATACTGCAGCTGTGGATTGGAGACTGTGCATGGGGGTAGTGTGTGCGTGTAGTAGAGTAGTAGTGAAATCAGATTGGGCATATCTTGTAATGAGTGTAGTGGGGGCATGTGCGGGATCGGGCGGTCGAGGACGTGCTCAACCACCTAGGCCAAACAAGTCGACGCGCAAGTGAGCCGAGGTCGATGGGTATGGGTGACGTCGATATTGGTACTGAAGCTAGTTTGGGCGAGTGATGGCCGGGAGTGTGGTCGCGGGTTGTGTAGCTGGTAGTGGGTGGGAGCTAGGTGGTGGTGAAGGTCGGCTGATCGGACGAGCGGGCGGCGGCTGCCGGCTGGTGCCCGGCAAGGCAGGGGCAGCAGAGGGGGCGGGGTCAGGGCTGGGTGGCTTGAGAATACTGTTGGTTGGTGGATGGGCAGTATGGCATGAGCTGATTGAGGAATGGCGGTGTCGGGGTCGGGGATGAGGATGGGGGTCAGATGGAGCGGGGAGAGGAGGAGGAGGAGGAGGAGGAGGAAGAGG